TCAATCAAATTACGGATAAGTTCGATCATTGTGCCACATAATATGTCGCATTCGTGCATGGTGATGATGCAGATATGTAACATGCTGGTCATATTGAGCGATAGCCGGGTCACGTAACATGGGTCCGGGTACTTTTTTCGCATGGTCCTTTATGTATACTTTAGCAAAATCATCTAAATCATCCTCGGACACCCACGAATTTGTCGTTGTTGAGAGACCCCTCGAACGAACTAAATATTCCTGTTTGTCCTTTTTAATTCGTCTTCGGACAACTTCCTGGGTCGATTTGGTTGCTATGTCCCGTTTGCGAAGGTAGTTTACATCGGCATTCACATTTGTGCTCTTAATCCATCGATTTGCATTTAGACAAACTTTGTCTGTATTCCCTGGTCCTCCGATGTCCGTTTGACAACTTTGATTCAGACTTTCCACATAACACATTGCTTCCACCGAAACCAAAGGAAGATAGTGACGCTTATAACCCGAAGACTGACAGGGGGAGCTTCTTAATGCAATCATTACAAAAGGTATGTACGTATCCCAATTATTCTGTTCCTCACTGGAATATGCTCGTAAAATCTGTGCGGTATCTTTGTTCTTTCTTTCGCAAACACCATTCGTTTGTGTGTGATATGCTCAAGTAAGGTAGTGTTTGATATCGCAAAGCTCACACATAGCATCTACAAGTTTGAAAGTAAATTGTCTTCTTCTATCAGTTACCAGTTCGACAGGAGCACCATACATCGCCAATTTAATATCTTAATAATAATTAACTAGAAATTTTTGAAGATATACATGATAAGGGTTAAACATATAATACAAAATGTGATATAAATTAACATATTTACATTACTGAGACGTAACTCAAATATAGGTACATACTAAATCAATGACTAAGATGCATGTTAAGTAATATAAAATTATTTTAAGATAGATGTTCAGAAAAGGTAAATAGATAAGACAGTGCGTTCATATTAGAACGATCAGGGTTCGGAGTAAAGATTAACTTATCCACTTTAAAGCAATTAGTTAATTTAGATAAGTAATTACATGTATATCAAAATATGTACTATAACACATCATAAATTTACATTGATTTAAATCGGGATCTAAATCGAGTGGACGTTAAACCCCATCTCTCTCTCTCTCCCATTGATTATTACATGTCTCAGTTATTGCAGCAGAAGAAGCCATAGTTTCGTGTTGTATTAATATATCTTTTGCTTCATATGTCGCCAAATATAGTTTGTGAAGAATGTATCCAACGTGGACTTTTATTAGAAACTGATTTAACTTATGATAATGTTGCACGGGACTTAGCGACGAGATATGCATCCGTTTTACGGGGTTCAGGTACCAGTGATTTGTCTTTAAACATACATTATGCAAGAGCTAAATCTGCCTATTGCAGGTCTTTCTTTAGGCCTGAAATATTTTCTAAATTATTAATTAGACATTAATTAACTTATCCAGGCCATAATCAACTCTCGATGGCATCGGATTTCTCCGATGTTAAATAGATTAGAACAGTTCAGCCATATTTTGATTTAAGCTAAAAATGGAGGAGCGAGACTTACCTTCGAACATCCAGTACGGTGGTTGAAATTATTGCACACGTCTTGTCAAACCTTCAAAGGCTAATATCTTCGCTCGCAATAGAGTAATTTGAATGAAATTGTCAAATTATTCATTTTACATTATCTATTTTGGAACTATTATAGCAAGAATGACTAGCTCTTTATCTAAATCTTACAAATGTATCTTTAAAGAAGGTCGGGTTCAACAACGCAACCTTCCGTTTTTCCAAGGAGAGAGATACTCGTAGAAATTTCATACCATGTTTTCGCTGTGGTGGAGATTCACATATGCCTGATGATTGTCGCTTTATTAGTGCAGAGTGTCACTTTTGTCATAAAAATGAACACACAGCAAAAATGTCTTTGTACAGACGTATCAAGAATATGAATATACAAAACTCTAGGAAAAGAAAGAATAAAAAGCAGAATCATGCTAATTGGGTTGTTGAATCTGACGCCACAGACGTTTTATTCTATGTACTTTCATTTTGTGACCATTACCCGTTACTGGTAAATGTTACTGTTAATACTAAAATTGTAAATTTTCATCTTTGGACACCGGTACAGGTTGTACTGTAATACATAAGGGAGATTTTGACCAATTGTACCCTAATTCCCCGATTGTCTCGGTCGTTTATTCAACTATACTCATATTCTGGGAATAGCATAAAAGTTATATATTAGTGAAAAACTGCTGAGCATACGAAACAAACACTCACTTTACCGTTAGTTATTGTTGATGGTAAAGGCCCTCCTTTGCAGGCAAGGTCGTGGATCAAGGCCCTAAATTTGAATTTAGATGAGAGACAGAGAGAGAAATGGGGTTTAACGTCCACTCGACACAAACTAGGTCATTTCGGGACTAAGAATTTAGATGAACTATTACTGTTATATACACTGAAATTATCTAGTTTATAAGACGAAATTGATGATTTATTCTCTGACGAAGTTGGTCTTTGAAAAGATTATGAAGTAACTTCACCAATTGGAGAAAGAGTGATTAATCAGAATAAGGTACCGGACGGGGTTGCATCAGCTCTGCCTGTCATAGGGGCGGATTGGGCCCTCGGTCGGACAAAAAATTAAAAAAACAATTTTGTCCAATTCGTCTAAAAAAACCTGTTCCTGTTGAACATTATGTGTGTGTGTGTGTGTGTGTGTGTGTGTGTGTGTGGAAGGGCGGGGGGGGGGGTATTGGACCGGCCATGGAGCGATGATGATCATGTTGTATGTGGCCGGTGTCCTTAACGGGCCACCACGCCATCACTGGAGTCTGGAATGGGCTGGTATAATAGACTTTCTGGGCCGGGTGTGCGGGGTTTGGGCCGGAATTCGGAATCCTGCAATGATTTCATCCGAAAATTTCATCGGATTCACCCGACACTGTCGCCCGCATATTTACTAATTATTAAGTCACATGCACCCTGTTTGTGGGGATACGCCAGAAACGTCTGCGATGGTTCGTAACTCCAACAAAAATTCAATTTTAAGGCCTCGGCAATAGCTGGTCTGCTGGCTGAATATTAGTGCGAGACGATTTCCTGATGTTGGTGTTAAACATTTCTTGACATTTATATTAACTCGTTATTTTCAGAGTAACGCAATTCTCATAATTTAATGTGTGTGGCCTTATACTCGAATATTCATTATCTGAACTAATGCTATGTTCATTTATCAATATGTAGTGTGTCAAATGTTCAAGTTCGGAGTCAAGGTAAGATATTTTACCTGGAACAACAAATCCAAAATTCAAAAAGCAGCTTTCATGAATTTCACTTTCGTCACTCTGTACCAATGTGTCTCGTGGCCTTTCATCACAGGAGGAATCAACTAGCGCTCCCGGCAACAAAAATGGGACATTTTTCAGTGGAAATATTCCTATTATATTTATTCAATATTCCTAACTGGTTAATCAAATGGTCAATATTTTCTCAACTTGTCCCATATTTTAACCAGTAAAATTCTTTTGACTCTTGACGCTTGACGATACAATGATGATACGTTAATTAATAATATGACGATATGATAATTTCACAGGTTGATGGTTGTAAATTACTTGCAGGTCGGGATTTTGGCCTAAATTAATCGATTTATGAGATATATTATTTGACAGAGACTATAATCAGATATGCCACTAAATCGCATATTTGGGGTTCATTTTTCAAAATTTTCCAGGAGGAGAGCCCCGGACACCCCGTCCGGGCTCCGCGGTCAGTAAAGGGGCCGCTTCAACACGGGAGCCCGGGCCGGTTCCCGGCCCCAATCTGCCCCTGGCTGTCATAAAACCTCATAGAAATTTGAGGTTACGTGGTGATTATAAACTAACTATAGATAAGTATCCGTTATCTTTAATTGATCAGATACTGCAAATTTATCTGGCGGTAAATTGTTCTCGAAATTAGACTTGTCTAATATGCCTTAGATGAAAGTTCACGACATCTAACAACTATAAATACTCCTAGCGGTTTGTTTGAATATTTAAGATTTCCGTTTGATGTGTCTTCAACTATTAGATTTTTTTAACGAGCAATTGAGACGGTTTTAAAAGGTTTGGATGCTCAAAGTGCTTAGCTTGGGGACATTAGTATTGTTAAGGGACAGAATGAGAAAGAACAATACAAAATTTACATGCTGTATTTACAAGGTTAAGGGATTGTGGTTTGAAACTGGGACAAAAAAATGCAAATCCCTTTTGACTAATGTTGAATATTTAGGTTTTAAAATTTCAGCTAAACGTAAAATAATATACACATTACTAGAGCTACTCCCGTGCATCCTGCTACTATGGTTTGACCGAGTGTTGTGTGAGCTATTTTTAAAAAAAACAAATGAACAAAATGTCTAAGGACAAGGGATATTTTAGAAAAGAAACTGTGCCGATCTTTATTGTCCAGTCGCACGACACATGATACGTCGACGGGTGAGACTCCGTGTTTTTTATTGATGAGCTTGAGGGGTGGGATCGGCTGCATATGCTCTACCGCGATTTTAAGGTCTAGCATTGGGTCAAATGACGTGGAATCGATCCCACGCGTATGCGTGACAAGGACATGGGTCGCTTTACCAGCCCCTTAATTTTTCTCTGGTTTCCATACGTGCAAGCTAATTATTGAAATAAAAGTGAAAAATTTGTTAGTCTAGAAATAGCCTATAGTTCGTTTTATGTGGACGTTAAAACCCCATCTCTTCCACCACCACCCTCCCCCACTGCTAAAAACCCTTGAAGTAAAGTGAAACATATGTTGGTCTCAAAACAACCTCTTCCCCCACAGCTAAAATCCCTTGATATAAAGATGTACCCTATGTTAGTCTAGACCTAGTACGTGTCGAGTGGACGTTAAACCCTATTTATATGGTTCTGGTGATAGAAGTAACAGCTAAGCAAGGAGTTGGTGGATTCCCCATATAAAAAATACATTGTTTTGGTTTAAACAAACTTTATTTCTTTTGGATATTACAAGCTCATTTTTTTTTTTTATAAAAATAGAAATTAAGATAACAAACAAATTAAAGCTTAAGATAAATGGCCGCCCGCTGCCCATACGTACAAATAGTAATTAATATACGTACAATTTTAGGAATAATTGAATCATCGTTGATAAAGACGAGAGAATGGGTTATTACGTCATGGGTTATTCTCACCCAGTTACTAAATGCCGCTTATACAAAATACACATTTCCTCAGGGAAGAAAATATTCGCTTAAGCGTTACAAGTTGTAGTGTCATGTTTAAAAGTTTCCATCACTTCGAAATGGAAAGAAGTTCAATAAAATTTGTAATGTTATCAAATTCGATGTGAACCTGGGCTCACCTAAATACCATATCGAAATGGAAAGAAGTTCAATAAAATTTGTAATGTTATCAAATTCGAAGTGAACCTGAACTCACCTAAATATCATATCGAATCTCCATGCCATGGACGAAAGCCGATTTTGAAATTATCTGATTGAAGGACAAGAGCCTCTTGTTTCTATTTTATTCTTATATCTTTTAGCTCTTTAAAAATTTTAAAATATCTTGTATCTTGTGACTCAGAATTTCGATAGATTTCATACTTAAATACATAAATCCGATCTGTAAGGCGTTTACAAGAATTGTTAAGGGGCGATGGTGGGAGGCGGCGAATGTATAATACACGAACTTAAAAATACTGGCATAATAAAATATCTGTTTTGTATAAATTAGAAAATATTATTTATCAATTTAAAAAAAATGATAATATATTAGAATAGTATAAATTAGCAAATAGTATATAAATTATAAATAGCATAATATATGCATACAAAAAATATAAGTAGGGACTATGTATTTAAGAATACAGTAATTTTGTAAAAAGACATCAATTACAATAAGCATAAAAAATATGAATGATATAAAAATACAAATTATGTAGTATGAATTAGAAAATAGTTTATCAATTACAAATAGCATAACATATGCATACAAAAACTCAAATATGTATTTAAGAATAAATTTATTTAGTATAAATGTATATCAATTACAAATAGCAAAAGATTTATGAATGACATCAAAGTACAAATTTATGTAGTTTTAATTAAACAAATAAGCATATCCAATATAAATAACATAAAATTTGGCTACTTAAATTAAGAATGCATTTCCTGGTATAAATTAGAAAATATTATAACAATAACAAAAACATAACATACAGGAATGATACAATTATAATACATACAAAGAATATATTTATTTAGTAAAGGTTAGAAAATGTGGGAGAAAACAGGAGTACCCGGAGAAAATCCACCAGATTGGATAGGTGACCCAACCCCTTGTCACGTAAAACTGAAGAATCGCCACTCGACTCAATGACTGATCTTATAATCGAACGCGCACGTAATGAATATGTTTGATTTGTTTATCTCTGGACGTATTTTTATTTGTTTATTTATGAATAAATTATATGATTTTTTAAAACAATACTTTATATAAAAATATATAATATATTTACATACTTTAAGCTGGGAGTATTAAATATTAGCAAGAATTAGCGACAATATTAATAGTATTTAGCAGGAAATATTAGCAGGAATTGGCATAAACAGCAAACTCATCTAGATATTCACCAACTGCATCAAAACAAAATTTTAACTGCTCCTGAAATTTATAAATACATGTACACAATCAACGACAATATAAAACAAATATTTGTCACGTGTTTCAATAAGGTTTATTGTTAGCACATTCTGATTAAAACACGGATCCTATTTCGTTTTGTTTTTTATAGTTCAAAATTTCGTGTAGTCCATCGAAAGTATAAAAAAACGAAACGAAATATAGATCTGTATTTTAATCATATTGTTGTTAGCAAAGAGAGATATCGGGTTAAAATATTAAAAACAAGGGGTTTATGTTTAAAATATAAAATGGTCTCATCTTTATTTAAAGATGCTTTATGTAAGATTTAGATAAAGAGCTGGCAGTTCTTGCTCTAATAGTTTCAATACCGACAACAACAAAAAGGGATATGTTGAAAATTTCAGTCAAAGTCTTTCATTCTCTGCTATGTTATGACTGTTTGAAGAACAGCGTAGTCTCGATTTTCATTGGTATACAGTTTTTACGATTTTTAAATTATATTAACAAATAGAAACAGCATTTCAATATATTACAAATTACAACCACACGATGGGCTAGATAGTTAATTATGGGATTTCCATATAAATAAATGTATCAATAATAATCCATGTAACATTAAAGGCTCAATACCACTCTTGTTGTAACTGAATAATATGTCCCAATCTTTATTCTGGTCAACAAATTGTACTATTTCACAATATTCCAATTAATTGATGATACAAATTTCATCTTAACACACCTAATTTAAAAAATTGGAAAAATTCAACTAAATGATTTGAAAAGCCTGATGTAAAGCTTTTCAAATGTGACTTGGATTTAAAAATATTTTTGAATCCTTTGGACAAGTAAAATAGGATTTAATGGATAATTTACACAACAGGTAGGACGCTAACACATCTAGTACTTAGAATAAGGCTGTTTTTTAATTTCTGGAGCTGTCAAGCCAACAAGAGTGTTATTGTCCCTTTAAAGGTTAAAAGAAAGATCTACAATAGACAGATTTAGATCTCCCATGATGCATCTTTAAATAATTCGATTGTACATCTAGGTAGAGACCTTTAAAAACGGGAGAAAATCCGACAAGATATTTATGTCATAGATAAGACGTAAATCTGACAGACGAACAAGCGCGACAACCATATACGACAAATCCCAAGACATCGTTGGTTCAAAAGATGCAATGCTATGATTTGATTTATAATACTTACAAAAGATGTTATAATCTGAGGTCTAGAAACTCGTAGTTGAACTAAAGTCTGTAAAATACTGACATCTTGTTCTATAGTTAATCTTTCTAATATAGCTGCTAGAGCACAGAATACACCCGATTTCTCTACGCCATTTCTAAAACAGTAGAAACATACAAACAATAATAAACGGCTTTATCATCAAATGAAATGAAATGGAATGGGGTTTAACGTCCTATTGTTAAACTCCGACTGGGCCTTACAGTGTGCTATATGAGTGACATTTTGCCCGGAGAGCAGCGCTTCCGTCTACTCTTATATCGAATTCCAACTGCCAAGGGGGTCTTTTACGTGCACGACGCCATTCGAATGACTAGATAGTTGTCCTTCCCAGAGCCTCCACCCTGCAACCACTGACAAGGGGAAACCACTCCAGAAAATTCCGATCAACTTTCCCGGCTAACACAAATGAACAATGATTGGTCTATCTTCATTTATGTTAATAACATAAACCAACTTACAACCAATGAACTATGGCAGACCATTTATATTAAAGGCCCAATACCACTCTTGTTGTAACTGAATAATATGTCCCAATCTTTATTCTGGTCAACAAATTGTACTATTTTACAATATTCCAATTAATTGGTGATACAAATTTCATCTTAACCCATTTAATTTTAAAAATTGGAAAAATTTAACTAAATGATTTGAAAAGCCTAACGTAAACCTTTTAAAATGTGACTTGGATTTAAAAAATATTTTCGAACCCTCTGGACAAGTAAAATAGGATGTAATGGATAATTTACACAACAGGTAGGACACTTTAAAATATCTAGTACTTATAATAAGGCTATTATTTATTTTCTGGAGCTGTCAAGCCAACAAGAGTGTTATTGTCCCTTTAACAACGTAAACCATCTTACAAAAACTGTTCTATATCAGGTCCATGGAACTATGATAGGTCACTATTATATTAACAACGTAAACCAACTTACCGACAATGAACTATGATAGGTCACTATTATATTAACAACGTAAACCAACTTACCGACAATGAACTATGATAGGTCACTATTATATTAACAACGTAAACCAACTTACCGACAATGAACTATGATAGGCCCATCTTCATTTCGTTGAGACCATGTTTTTATATCTTCTAACATAGTGAATATTGGACTGGCAGAAGTTGGTACCCCTTTCTTCGGATTCCAGAAATTACACTGATAAATTTGGATTCTTCTTTTTATGTTGTTCTGATTGAAGTAAACAAATATATGATTGGTAAGATTGGCATCTATTTCTAAATATACGACGCTTCGGTCATTGAAGTTTTATTAAAGATACAATATGCAACAATTAGATAAAGAGATGTCCATTTGTAAAAAGACAATGCAAAATGAATGTATTGAAAATTTCGTTCAAATTGATCCATAGCGAGCGAAGATATTAGCTTTTAAAGGTTAGACAAGATGTGAGCATTAATTGCAACCACCATTTTAATCTACTTTGTATTGGAGATATCCGATGGCATCGAGCATTCATTATGGTCTTTTCATTTTTAAAAATGTCTAATTAATTATTTAGATAACATTTCAGGAGTTCAATAGACAGATTTAAAAAAAAATAGCTATTGCATAATGTATGTTTAATGGAATCCATCTCTATTATGGTTTATTTATAAATGGAGACTCTCCCTATTTTGCATCCTATATTTCATAAAAAAAAGTTCGAATCTGGGTTTATAGAGTTGACCCACTAATTAACACGGACGCGCTAAAGCTATTAACAGATGAATCCATATTTATATTTATTGTCTAGTCTTGTATGAACAGACAAGGGTTTTGAAGATTTTGAAGCGGACGGATCTGAAAGTCAACCGGCCCCCATTTTATGAAGACGTGGTGTTAATTAGAACTATGGAAACACCTATAAGTTGTTTAGCAAACGATTGTGATAGTTGGGTTCTTTCCTGATATAAATTCAGACATTATGGAACGGTAACAAAAGCATTATAGGACCAGATATAACATAAAATAACAGGAGAGATAATTAGTAGATATGTTCAATAAGAGAGTTACCTCCCTTCATCTTTTAGATTAAATAGGCATACTCTCGATTGAACGTTCGTTCCGGAAATGAATTTTCTCTAATCCGCTGTGAAAGAGATTGACACCACCTCGGTAGTCGGGGCTGATGTAATTCTAACAGTACTGACTTCATCGCCCTTCAATTACAATTCTGTCAATTCGGGACATTCCGGACAAACAATCGAGCATCACCTACGTCTAACTGATAATACGGTTATTGCAAATGTATAGAGTGACAATAAAATATAGTCGACCCCTTAATATTATTTCCAATGATGCATGTGGGATACGTGATGAGAATATCGATTATCCAAATTTTAATTTAATCATTAACTGCCAATCGTTTTTAAATCCGTTGAAAATCAAGCCAAGGAACATCCGATGACGTAGAGTTGATTATGGTCATGTCAATAAATGTCTAATTAATAGTTTATATAACATTTTAGACCTAAAGAAAGACCTGCAATAGGCGGATTTATATCTTGAATTATGCATCTGTGAAAACAAGAATTACTTACATCTAATTCACTGTTAATTAAACAGGTAACCACTGAATAAATGCCATTCTCATGGGTTGTTTCATCTTGTTTTATAATATTATATGGTCCACAGTTCAGTTCATCAGTTGCTGGTATATATTGTCCAATATCCTGTAGAGTACAAATATGTACCATGTAATCTTTTAGGCACAGGATAATAAACTATAACACATATCAAACTATAACACATGCTAATAATAATAATAAAATACACTATGTAATCTTTTATTGACAGGTCAATAACACATACATATTATAATAATGAATTGTTATAGCGCGTATTCGGGGGTTGGATGTCTGATTTAGCATGTGCGCGCTATATCATAAAGTCTCTCACTGAGTCAACTAGTGTGGTTTCGATTCTCCGGTTGTACGTGACAAGGAGAAGAGTCGCCTGTCCAACCTTGTGGGTTTTCGCCTGGCTCTCCGGTTTCCTCCCACTGCTAAAGACCCCTACGCGCAAGCGAATTATGGAAATAAATTTGAACCAATTTTATATTAGAATAAGCCGCCGCGCCACTGTTCGCGCAATATTTCCCTCATAGCACACTGTATGGCGTATTGTCTACCTAAAGATCCGTGCGCAACACACCAAGACCTCGCCACAACAGACCGTTTCATCCACCAAAACACGGGTTACATAACGACTCTTCCAGATCCTAGCGTAGTGAAGGCAAGTAGGCAAGTAAAACGGAATTTCAAACTATACAAAAAAAGCTAACGAAATAGGATCTGTGATTGATAAACCACAAAACATCTAAACATGGTCCCCTTCCTGACTTACACCTGATTTAACTTCTTATCTGTTGAGATCTAACAAACTTTGGTTGCACTTGTATTTGGGTCGAGTTTTAATTTTAATGCAATCCCATGAATAATTGTATAGGGGAATGGAGATTTATATAGGCTATAGGCTTGTTATCTAATCCCATTCAGATATCGTGAATACAAATATTACTGAGACATGTACTCTACCACTTCGTTCATAAACCCCCACAAGTCCGAAACATTCATTCGCAGGGACATATAGCGTTTCGTTATATCTAATAATTAAAATTAGTTTTTTCCAATCTTTAAAATTGTTACTTTTCCTGTTTCTGTAATATCCATATTAACTATTGTAGTAACGTCTTGTTCTACAACCATCGTCCAGAAATCTATCACTGTATTTGACAAGGGTGTCTGGGTCAATATGTAAGCACGTTTCTTTTTGTAACTCTGTAAATATACCAAAATGTTGCCAATATTAATATATTAGATATTTGATTAAGAAGCTGGAAATCAGCGAATGATTGACGCCAAGAGACGGTCATTTACATTAAAGTCAACATATACAATACTGTGGCTTCGAACCCCGACGTGGACCTATGAGAAGAACCATCACGATTTCCCATACCCGACCTTTACTTCTCAGTGGGATGGGACGAAATACTGCATGATCAACGTTTGTAAACATTTATGTACACGTAAAAGAACCCCTGGCAGTTCAATAGAAAGCCTCCTTCCGCGCAAAATGTTACAACCTCACATTGACATGTTCATAGAAGCAAATATTACCATACAATGACGTTAAGCTCATGACCGAATACTGTGTTTACGAGCGAGACCGATGGAACGAAAACCGAGGTCCCGTGTACACATTGGTGTGCACGTAAAACAATTCTTTGCCGAGTAGGCCATTCCTTAAAATGATTAACTAGTATTATGTTTTAAAAGCGATTTTCATAGCATTTCTAAATCTCTAATCTTGATAATCTTCTAATTCTAATCTGTCTTACCGATATAAACAAAGCATTGATATAATCTGTTGTATTTGCTCTAGATAAACACAGTCTAGTTTTATCCGCTGAAATAAAAATAATATACATACAACCTTTAGGGTATATTACTTCAATATAGAGAGAGGGAATGAGAAATGGAGTTTAACGTCCACGCGACACAAACTAGGTTATTTCGAGACTAACACATGGTTCTCTTTTATTTCAGGGGTCTTTAGCAGTGGGAGGAAACCGGAGAACCGGGAGAAAACCCACGAGGTTGGACAGGCGACCCTACTCCTTGTCACGTACAACCGGAGATTCGACACCACGCCATTTGACTCAATGACAGACCTTATGATACAGTGCGCATGTGCTAACCATTCGGCCATCCAACCCCCCTAACTTCAATATATTATTGTATAAATAATTTGAATAGATATGAAAACTTGGTTTGTCCTTTATGTGAATTAAATAAAAATGAAATAAGGTTTAACGTCCTACTGTTCTGCAAAATGTCTGTATGGCGCATGTCCGTCTTCATTAGCCAGGTAGGAGCAGAACAGTAGGTCGTTAAATCCAATTTCATTTCACTAAACAATGGAATCAGTTTCCTCCATCTTGTAAATATGTAAATATTTATGTTCAAGACGTGAAAGAAAATAAATATAACATGTTTAAAATAAAACCAATAAAACCACTAACATGCTAGTATTGACTGATCTCTGTTTAAAATAAAACCAATAAAACCAATAAAACTACTAACATGCTAGTATTGACTGATCTCTGTTTTTATTTTTGTTTTCTTCTGATAAAGCTACTGAACAATCAGTTGATCTTTGTTGTGGGCATACATCATCAAGCATCTGAAATACAGATTCATAGTCTATTATAAATTACAAAAGTAGGGCCCTGTTTCTCGAAATCTTAACTAAAGATACGATCCAAATTTTAGTAGATACTTCATTTTTGATTGGCTAAGCACTAAAATCAATCTTATATTATCCAATCAAATTGCTAAAATTTGGATTTTATCTTAGTTAAAATTTCGTGAAACAGGTCCCTAATTTATACGTTAAAATATATTGTAAAAAATATTTGAATGATATAGTTTATGGTTTCGGTATTTAAAGGACTGACGCCGTGGTAACTCAGCGAGTAAGACCCTGTTTCACTCACCAGCAGATCGTTGGTTCGATCCCTTGAGAAAGTTCTCCAGTATTTTCCGGTGTAGTTTCCCCCTAACAGTCATGCGTGCTAGATGAGGGGGGTTGGGGGCTGGCAACTGACAGTGTCTAGTACTTCAGATGGGACAAAAAAAAACTCGGTCATGTGTGAAAATGAAAGAAGCAGTGATAGTTGAAATTACATTTAGCGCAACACTCTCCTGTCGTAGCATACTGTTTGACGTATACGCGTCTTCGGTTAATGAAGAAAAGAAGCCGTTAAATCCCATTTTGTTTTATTTATATGTACCTGAAATCGTTCTTGGAGCTGTGTTTTACCATATAAACTATTGGACGAAAAACTGAGGTCACATGTACACGTTTGCATGCACGTAAAATAGCCATTGGCAGTTGAAAATAGATTCGGTGCCGCTGTCCGTGCAAACATTCTGCTCTCGTGTTATACTGTACGGCGTATGCCCGTCTTCATTAGCCCAGTTGGTGCAGAAAAAAGCCGCTGTTAAACCCCATTTCATTTTATTTGTATTTACCTGAAATCGTTCCTGAAGCTGTGATTTACCAGATGAACTATTGACCGTTAGTAGTGTTTGATAATCTTGTTGATATGACGTCACCGGAAACGTAATAGCTCCCGCGACATACCAAGCCGCTAACGCATCATGTAGAAATACATATTGTTCCTGTAATATTTAAATAAGATTATATTTAATGTGCAATAAATGTTTTGGTGATTGTTTTCTAGAAACGTCAGAGTCATTACTCTCTCTCTCTCTCTCTCTCTCTCCCTCTCTCTCTCGCATGCTTTATGCATGATACAGTATATATATTTAAATAAACATACCCAAGTCTGGACCATGTTAACTCGTTCATATCTCATCTGTTTAACACATTTATAGATATCTACAGATCCTTCTGCTCTAGCTTCTCCTATCAACTTATCTAAACCTAGAAAAGTTCCTGTTCGTCCAATACCAGCACTGAAGACGAAACAATATAAAGGCATTTAAGAACAAAGCTCTGACCAACATTTCAGATGGCTGTTCATTGGCATCTTAAAAAATTATCGCCTTTTGAATGGAAAAAGAAATGAAATCGCGTCCCACTGTATCAACTGAGCTATAATGAAGACGTTCCTGTGCCAAACGGTGTGTCATGAATTTTGCCCGGAATGCGAAACTACGGCCTACTCTTCTATCGAATTTCAAGGGCCAATGGTTCTTGTACGTGCACGCCCATGGGTACAGGGGCTCTCGGTTTTTTGTTCCACTCGAACGAGAAAGTGAGAAAAGATTTCCTCCTTGATAAATGTCATAGAAATTTGACCATACTTCATCTGTCCGCCACTGTCGTGCCAATATTTGACACATACATAGGTTCATGTACCAGGTATATGGTAATATCTAATAACAGAAATGAGGTTTGAATTGGTAGCGAAGATAAAGTTGTTTACACCCATTCAATATCAGGACTAATCATCTACTGGATAACAGAGTTTAATAAACTTTACAGAAAGGGTTTACACACCTGCAGTGTACTACCATTGGTCCTGGATGTGGTGACCTGGCTTTAATGACTTTACTTCTGAATTCAACCAATGACACCATATCATTAGGAACACCTTTATCAGGCCATGATGTATAATGGTACTGTTTAATAGTCCTAGATCCACATTCATCCTAGAAAACATTTTAAAGTAATGCTTAATGTTCTCTTCTCCTGACCCAATCGGCTACTAAAACACGCCATGCAGAGTGAAATAGGGAATTGTTTCCCGGATAGCAAATGTACCTCAAAACATGTAATGGTCCTAGACCCACATTCGTCCTAGAAAACATTTAGAAGTAATAAATCGCGGTTTAATGTGACAATTTTCTGAACAAACCGGCTACGAAAACATAGAACTGCATAGCGTATGCCCAGCTTCATTAACTCGGATTTTGCAGTAAAACAGACCGTTTTATCCCATTTCATGTCGCTTTAGCATATATTGATTAAACGTAAAACATACCTTTGTTATTTTCAGAGTTCTAACAGTGAAGTGAGCAAAAATATCCTCCTTCATCAATGTCATAGAGATTTTACCATACTTCATGTTCTCGCCGCTGTCGGGCCAATACTTGAAACATTTTTTCTGAAACATCATATTATTAACATTGGTCCTAGTAATATTAATATCGACGATTAATTTAAGACAAGTCCAGTCATGGGATGGCAAGGGTTCGTAGCAGCATCCAAGAGCAAAGACACTTTAGGCGCCCCCAGACAAGTAGTAAATTTCGACATATTTTATCAAGATTTTGTTAAATTGCATGTTGAATGTGGCATAATGCTATGATGAATGCTATATAACGATCTTAAAAATGTTCCATAATGTTATGATGAATGTAACATAATATTATAAATGTTAAATAATACTATTAAGTAAGAATATAACATGGTGCTATTATGGGTGTTACATAATGCTATTATTAATGAAGCATAATGATATTATGAACGTTACATAATGCTATTCCTATATCACCGCAGTTTTCATAGAAATTAAATGAGAGTTTTAACATACAGTTCCCATTTCAACCAGATTAGTCAACATAACAATCTTTCCAGTCTGTGAAACCCACAATAATCGTAAAAAATCTTTAATGATAACATCATTTGGACCTGTGAAAATAAAAAAAGAATATGTAGAGTGTATTTTGGTGTAGTTGTAAAAGTACACAGAATCGTTAGAGGGCGTTGGATGAAATTATTTGTTTTTTCTAAGCGAGATCGTAATCTACCAAAGTCTTCACACAAACACATCTAATATCTTATAGGCCCCCCCCCCCCCATTTGACGGATGCGATTTATATTAAATGAAGTTTTTACAAAACTCATGGGGCCAGTAAATCCATTTATGGTTAAAATGTTCAAAGTTAGGTTGCAATTATCCGTTCTTTCAGGGTGAGTTCGTTATTTTCCAAATGCTTCATGAGGAAACATTTAATTTACTTTAAAACATTGGTCCCCATTTGACGGATGCGATTTATATTAAATGTTTACAAAACTCATGGGCCAGTTAATCCATGAGTTAAGTTGCAAGTATCTGTTCTTTCAGCGCGAGTTCGTTGCTTTCCAAATGTTTCGTGAGAACACGTCTAATTTTTTATACAACCAAGGATCACGTTTTACCTGATGCGATTTATAATAAATGAAAATATTTACAAAACCTTCTCACCTTGTGAAGCGATATACTTGTTTTCAGCATCGCCATATCCCTGTGTAAACAGATCGAAATATCTCATAAACAAAAATAAAAGGGTATAGTTTCGGCTGAAACTGTCCTTTAAAATATGTGTACACTAGCTGGAATATGCTAGATGTAAAATATAAGTACACCAGCTAACTTAATCTAGGTGCTAATTATACAAACACTACCTGGAGTATGCCCTATCTATATATAGGTAGAATATGCTAGATGTGATAATGCAAACACTAGCTGGAAGATACCACGTGTTAGATATACTTACAGAAAATGCTAGATGTTTAATATATGTGAACCATATAGCCATAATATGCTAGATGTTAATTATATAAACACTAGCTAGAATATCTAGTATTACAAAACAGTGAATAAAATAATAATAGTAAGCACATAAAATAATAATAATAATAAGAAGAAGAAAAATGTTGAAGGATAAGCTTCTAGATTTACACTGTCTAACGAATCACATTTAGATAGAGTGATCTTATCTTACTTCTTTTTTGTATTCCTGATTGTTTTCAAATTCGAGTGAAGTCTGTGTCACTACAGTCACGGGACTGTACAGCGCAGTGGACGCTTACGGCTGGCCCCTGGATCCATTCACTTGTTTTGATATTTGTTTATTTGGTTCAGTGTCTATTTTCTGTCTTGTTCGCAGGTTTATCTTGTAGAATTTTGTTTTGCGTGTAGTGCGGTCCTCTTGCACTTACTATTACAGACTAGGAATATAAACAGTACTGTTTGTTTCCGCACGTGATCGTCGACGTTACGGAGAGCGAGCATTTTAACGAGGAATTTATTGTCGGTTACCTCTTCGTGTGAATACAATTCCATTACATCCAGTTGTTTTTGCATAAATAGGACACAGTCGATAATAGCATGACTCAGATTACATGTAAGGAATAATAGCCACAATATTCACACTGTAATCTATCTAAAGATGTTGGACCATTGACCCTAGCGTACGCGCACACCTTCACGAATGTTAAATATGCGCACAATATCTGGTAAATACATGTACATTAGCTAAAATATGCTAGAAGTTAAATATACACTAAAAAAAACTTGTGTTGGATCTCAACACACCGTGGCTGAATCTTGCTTATGACGTGTATATAAATATGTCTCTTATATTTCATTTGTTTGAAGCTTTTCAGTTATTGAAAGTATTTCAGTTTAGCGCATAATTAATGTCTTTAGTGCTTGGTTTGGCTGTTATTAAATTTAGATATTTTTTTATTGTATACCAAAAAATACATGACGAAAAGTGGTAACAGGTGTCCGGAAGAGTAAGCTTGCATTGGATTTACCCTTCGAAATGTCTGTTTAGTATTGATTTGGCATTAATTTAATTTTTCATATAATTTAATGAATAAATAATATTTTAACAAATAAACTTATTGTCATGTCATTTATCAAACATTACAGTTAAAACAGAATAAAAAGATGGGCTGTATGGGAAAGGTTGCTATACTGGATACAAATTGGTTATAAACAAGTTTCATAAATTCTAACACAAGTTTCAGAATTTTCACACAAGTTTCAGAAATTTCAACACAAGTTTCAAAAATTTTAACACAAGTCGTGTGTAGATTTTTTTTACACAAGTTTGTGTTGTTTGATAAGTTTTGTGTTGTTTCAAAAACACAAGTTTGTGTTGTTAAATAGAAACACCTAACTTGTGTTGAACCTTCCTATTTTTTAAACGGATTTCTTCGATTATGAACACACTATGTAACTTTGGATATCATAAACTTACCTGTCCTGCACTGACAAATAGGAACCACGTCGGAAAGTTTCGCGATGGAAAACGGGAATTGAAGGTTAGCGAGCTAACGTCTTACTCACTGAGCCCCGGTGGCTCCCTACTAAATACAGATTTAACAGAATAACTTACAGTTATGTAACAAGCGTTGATGTAATCAGAATTAGGGTCACCATTTTCTATATCCAGTTTAACTCTTGAATGATCAACTGTAATAAATTATATATAATACACGTTTTTAATTTACTGCTCTCTCTCTCTCTTTCTCTCTCTCTCTCTCTCTCTCTCTCTCGAAACCTATCAATTATATTGTTTAAAATATTATGTCATTGAAGATGCAACCACGTGGGTTTTCTAGGGGTCCTCCGGTTTTCTCCCACTGCTACAGACCACTTCGCGCAAGCCAAACATTTAAATAAAATTGAACCGTGTGTTAGTCCCTAATTGACCTAATTTGTGTTGATTGGACGTTAAATCCATCCAAATAACGTACATAAAGATAATGTAATTAGTAAACTGCCAATATCTCGTACAATAAAATTTCCGACTTATAAATTTGTATATTTAATTACTTATACTTACAAGCACATATGTTTTTATATCTATTTTTAGGCTTATTAACAGCATTCATACAATAATCATATGCTGAACAAAGTCCACTTGGAAAACTCTGAAAAGGAAAAAATATCGGACAGATATTTTTAATGGATTTGCTTTGTTTAAACTTATATAATTTTTTCGTTAAAATGTTTTATTTTTTCTAAAATAGAACAGCTTTGATTGTCTGGTTATTAAATCTAGATTTGGTCACATTTCTGAACGAATCTTAAGATCTCCTCTCAATTCAAAAATCCCCAAAACTGCATACTTGATCGATGTATAACAGAAGCCAGTACTAAATAACCACTGGACCCAACAAAAAGAATTCAGTTGATCGGCTACCAAATGTTTCAATTGTTCGTTAACATTGCTTCGAGAATAACCACTGCCGCATGGCATGTAAGAGTCATCGTATTACATCATACCAGATATTCAGCTTTTAATCTGTTTTCTTTCTTTTTTGTTCTGATGTGCTGCAAGAGATCGGTCAATTCAATACGTGTATACGTTTTAGTCTCTTCTTCAACGTTGACGTAAACCTGTGCGTCATCGAAGGTTATATCTTCATCTAATGTCTCTGAAGAGGCTGCCAGATTCGCATAAGGATTACCAGTTGGTAGGAGTGTCTTGTCCACTAAATAAACGATAAATCATTAAATCGTGAGAATAAATTAACTGTAGCAGGTGGGCAAATACACACACGTTTACCAAATCAAAAAATTAATTTCATTAAATTTGTTATTTCTTCAAATAACAGACGCGGTCGACGAACGAAAACAACGAACAAGTATTTCATTACATTTGTTATTTCTTCAATATATGACAATGCACTAAATAAAAGGGGAGGGGGACATCTATGATGTTATATACTGTACTCTAGCTCGTTACCAAGGATATGCAAATTTGGAGGAATAAAGTAAGTAAACGTGGGCAATAAACATCTGAAACTCGATGTGGGTGGGGAGAATTTAATTATCCCTCAATCGTGTTGACAAAATGAAATCAAGTGGGTTTGTAAACCCTCTTACTGGTCTGCATGGACTTGGCTATAACTAATGAACACGGTCAGTTGTTTACACATACATATTCACGAGAAGCTAATGGCCATGAGATATATTGCGATTGTGCATTGATTGTGTATTGTCTCCAAGTTCATATTTAATTTCGGGTCTCACTTTTTAATGTTAACCAGCTATAATCTATTTCTCCATCTATCCCGTATAAAACCATTATCTGGCACAACTTGTCCGACTTTATAAATGATCGGATGACAACCTGTGCGGCCTGCGGCGTGTAGTAAAAGTTGTGTTATACGATAAGTTGTAGAATCCTTCCTCTTATCTCGCTAGTCAAACAAACAAGGTCACGAAAGATCAGGCTTTAATTGAACCACAAAAATACAAACAGGAATAATGGACCGAAATGTTGTCCATACTTATCTCGCTAGTCAAACTAATCAAGGTCCCGAAAGATCAGGCTTTAATTGAACCACAAAAAAACAAACAGGATTTATGGACCGAAATGTTGTCCATACTATACGACCAGATAAATTGAGTTTGCATAAAAGAAAATAACCGACCTTTTGATGGACTTTCTTTAGACTTTGGCACAACTGAATTCATTGGTAAATCGTTTACTTGTACGTGACCGGGTGTTGTAGATTTCTGTCGTCTGCAAATTATGAAGAGAGAGAGAGAGAGAGTGAGGGAAAAAGAAAATGGGGTTAAATCCACTCGAAACAAACTAGGCTATTTCGGAACTAACATATTTCAATAATTCGGTTGTGCGAAGAGATCTTTAGCCGTAGGAGGAAAGCGGAGGATGCGGAGAAAACCACCGTGCTTGTAGCAATGTTGATAGAATTTGTGCTCTTTGAATTAATAATAGCATTATATTAATAATATATCTTTAACTAATTATTGGGTTCATATACA